AAAAAGTAGTTTAAATTAATTAGTCATAGGTTTGCTAAAATTTAGTTTTCTTTTGAATTTGAAATTTTAATAAATTTTTACTCATTTATTCATGTTTTTAACATTATTTTAATGATATATTATTAAATAATTATTTTGATTATAATAGTTTATTATGTATCAAGTTTGATAAACGCCATTTTAGACACGAATTTAATTTAGGCACGAGCGAGCAAGTGCTTAATTAAATGAGTGTCTAGAAAAGTTAAACGAGACTTTTTCCACGACAAATACTTTTAATTATCCAAAAATGTTTTAAATTAAATATTTGTATATCCTCCACAATGGAGTCTCTAGCCAAAATTAAGTTAAATATAGTTTACTGCCGGCGAAATTAAAAGGTCAGTACAATGTTCATATAATCTTTTCAAATATTGGCGTTGAGAAACTATTTAATGCTTTTGTATTTTTGTATTGAGATAATAAAATAATTTTCACATTTAGTATTATTTTAGGAGAAGGTCAATTTATTTTACCGATTGTGTGAGATTTGACAACCAACAACTAAACTTCAGACCTTGACTAAAAACCTGTTGCTAACTTCAGCCCGTGACTAGAACGCCGTAAAGCCACAACTTGTCAATGTGTATTTAAAAGGTCACTTAGTGTCATGGAAAAATGTACTATAATGGGCGTTTTAAAGGTGGGAGTAGAAAATAGTTATTTATGTCATTAGGTTAAGAAGCAAGGCTCAAAGTTTGAAGGCCGACGCGTAGCGGAGGCCTACAATTGAGCGAAGCACAAAAAGACACTTCTTGGCCGAATGGCATACAACATTTTATCTTCAAAGCACTTTATATAGGTCAATTTAATTCAACATGAAAGCGGCCTAACCTTACTTTTTTAGAATCTCATTTATTTATTAGCTAAAGATTACATTAAATGTACAATAATCATTATTCCTTTTAGAAGCAGTAATAGCAATACCTAGCTACATGATTTAAGTAGAAATGGATTTTTGTAAGAAAATGGTTTACTTACCCTCTTGCTATTACATTGAATTCAATTAATTGTTTAATAAATAGGTATCTAATTTCAATTTGTTTGCATTTTTATTAAAAAAATAGGTAGTTTGGAATGTTTACGCTGCGTTTAACATTTAATTTCACTGAAAACTTAAAGCAAATTAAAACTTAAAGATAATTTAAATCGTAGAAAAAGAAAACACAACTGTGAAATCCACAGAAACGTCAAATTGCAGTGGACTAACCTCACTTTTTGTTTTATTATTCATATTTAATTTTTTCAATAATTTAATGAAAAATAATAAACATTAACAGTAAAACAAACAAATTAGTGCTTATTATAAATAAATTAAACCAGTTTAGTACGTTAATTTCTTAGAAAAGGATTAATTTGTCAAAACAATACCCCTAGCGAGAAAAAATCGAACTAATTACTTGCCTCATAAAATTTTTTATCGGCCTAGGCCATAACAAGTTATTTCTTTATCGAATGTCGACAACAATAAAGTTTAAATTATAGACCGCGTGGAGATAAATACATTTTTAACCCTATGAGTTTATTAACCTTGTTTGGTAATAAATGGTAAAGACCCCAGAATTCCCAAAAAATTGTTAAAGAATCTTACCTTTATTATTAAACTTAAAAATAATAGATTTACCTTGCTAATCTTTCATTGTATAGATTAGGCATAATGTACATCATTTTTAAACAATGGTTAAATTAGAAACCACGTGGTTAAATATTATTATCAGGCAATGTTGCGATTTAAAGAAAATATGTATTTACTGTAGCTTTCTACATAAATTAAAAGTTCAGTACAATTTTTATATAAACTTTTCAAATATTGGCCTTAAGAAACTATTTAATACTTTTGTATTTTTGTATTAAGATAATAAATAATTTTTACATTTTGTTTTATTTTACAAAAAGGGCACTTTATTGTTACAATTGTATGACATTTGAAAACAGTTACTGTCAACCAACTTCAAACTAACTTCAACCAGTGACTAAAAACCTCTTGCTTACTTCATCCCGTGACTAAAAAGACATAAAGCCACAACTTGTCAATGTGTATTTAAAAGGTCACTTAGTGCCATGTAATAATTTATGATAATGGGCGTTTTAAGGGTGGTATAGTAGTAGTATATTATGTATCAAGTTTTATAAACGCCATTTTAGTTACGAGTTTTATTAGGCACGAGCGAAGCTTGCGAGCGAGTGTTTAATAAAAACGAGTGTTTAGAGAAGTTTATAAAACGAATTGCATACTATACATTATCTACGACGAACAGAAATAAGAATTTAAAGACAATTTTATTTCATAAAATTTGACATTTAACAAATTTAACCTCACTTTTTCGTAATTTATAATAAAGCTAACTTCAGCCCGTGACTGAAATGCCCAAAAGCCACTGTTATTAACTTCAGCCCGTGACTAAAATGCCATAAAGTCACAACTCGTCAATGTAGGAGTAGATAATAGTATATTATGTATCAAGTTTTATAAACAGCATTTTAGTTACGAGTTTTATTAGGCACGAGCGCAGCTTGTGAACGATTGTTTAATAAAAACTAGAGGAGTTTATAAAACGAGTTGCATACTATACTTTATCTACGACGAACAGAAATAAGAATTTAAAGCCAATTTGAATTCATAAACATTTGACGAATTTAACCTTGAGCACTTTTTCGCAGTTTATAATAAAGCCAACTTCGGCCCGTTACTAAAATGCCAAAAAGCCACTGTTATTAACTTCAGCCCGTGACTAAAATAAAAACATTAACACCGTACAAAAAAAAAACAAATTTACAATCATTACACTCATTTAAACACAATCATGCCGGTTTAATTGGTTTGATTACACTTAATTCAAATTGCCGTCGGACGACTAAACAAAAAAGTTTTACTTAATTCTCACTTTTAATTTAATCGCGTTCAGGGTGCTTTTCAACCAGAATTCAATTAATCTGCATATCTTTTCAAAGAATCTGGTTTAATAAAGAAGAATCCGAGTACATCGCAGTGTTATCTTTAACTTCTCAGTGTGTGTATGTGTCAGAGTCGGATTTAGCAAATATTCCACCGTTTATAAATTATAAACGAAATAATTTTTTTTACCTTATATTAATAAAGTTAAAAATTCAAATATTATTTTAAATAACAATAGAAACATCAAAAATTATGAAATAAAGTAAAAAAATATAGTGTCCATTAAACATTCTCTTCTCTTTTACTGTGAAAAACTGCTTCTATATTGATTGTTAGTTTATTTTCAAGGGATAAATTTTGATTTACACAGAAAAATTTGAGATTTTAACGCCGGTAGATTCCCAAGTTAGATATTCTAACATAAATTATAATAAATAAAACTGTCACTTTTTGTACCTTTAACATTTTTCGTGTAAGAATTTTTAATACTGTGTGATAATATTTTGCAATTATAGTAAAAAAAAACAAAGGATAAAATATTTTGTTAACATTATAATTTTTTAAAGTTATGGGTGATTCTACAAAAGTTGGACAACTTGTTATCAGTCAATAGAGTAAGTATTTTATAATTTTTTATAAATATTTTAGTATATCACAAAAGATCCACGTTTTTTTAACTTGTCCACCCAATTTTAATGTATTTTTTCAAAAGCACGTTTGTAGAAAAACATAATAAATATTCAAAACATCAGTACCTTGGCGTGTCACAACTCCTGAATCAAATGGTTTTATTTTAAAATATATTCAATTTATCTTAAATTTTTTAATTTCACTACAAACTATAAAACATTAAATAATGTATTTTTCATATTTTATCATAGATTCGAATAATAAGAACTTTTAAAAAATTGATAATCCTTGTACTCACTTTTACTCGTCAGTTCTGTGTCCAATGTTAAAATTCAAAATTCCTGCGAAATATTGAAGTTTAAACGTCAAGTCCTCGTTTTAACTCAAGTGTTGGTCAAAAATTACCTACAGAGCCCGCCCTTTGCACGACAGTCATCTTGAAAACAATGCAAGCTGCGAAGTTGTGGTGAATGCACGTATAGTTCCAGTCAAAATTTCACTACTGTGGTGAGTAGTTATTTTCTTACGTATATATATATATATATATATTTCATTGTAATTTATATAAGGCTATATGTGATTTGTTGATAAGTAGCATCCACTAATAAAAAATATCAGTAAAATACTTAATTCCGAATTATAATCTCAAATTTGTACCCCATTCATCAGTACCGTGTCGTCAGTTCCATGTTCGATGTTTCGGTTATCTTTTTTTCGCAAACTTCAATTTAAATTCTACTTGCGCAGAACTTGTTTATTTAATGTCATTATAAACTTATAAATTTGGTGTGGGTCCCATATCTAATAATTGAGATATCGGTATACCCAAAATCCACCAGCCGCCACTGATGTGTGGTATTATTTGATTTTAAGATATTTAATGTATAATATGCTCAAAGTTGCAATAAATCTTATATTTTCCAATAAATTATGTATTTAATTAGTACCCTGGTATACTCGTCACTTTCCTTACATTCAAATTTAGAAAACACAGATATTTCAGAAACTGTTTGAAAAAGTGCACCAGTCATGACTGGCCCGGTCTGGAACAGTATATTTATTATATTATCTATGTTCTCATAACAAAATACTGTTTAATTTTCTCCGAAAACTATATAAACAAAATGAGGTCAAAAGTTGCCCAACTAAAATCACCCATATGTATTTGTCGTAGAAAAAGTATAGTATGCAACTCATTTAATTAAGCACCTTAAGTGCCTAAAATAAATTCGTCACTAAAATGGTGTTTATCAAACTTAATATATAATACACTATTAATAAAACTTTCAGAAACACAGGTTTTAAAATAATAATATTCTTAAAAATGGTAAGCCTATAAATTGACAATTAAACAACATAAGAACAACTTAAAGCACCATTTGAAGTTTGAAGTTTTTACTATGTAATTTTAAACTGCACCCTCAAGCCAACTCACCTCATTGAGACAGGCAGCCAGACAAGCTTCCTTGGTGGATGTGTAAATGAGGGCGTTATCCAGCCCTCTTATCATCTTGTTCGGCACCCGTTCAAACGACCACGGCCGCAGGCAAACGTTCTCGGATCTGTGATACAAGAAATATACATTGAGTTATAAAAAAAATATATGACGATAAAACTATAAAAAGTAAAAAAATACTTTAACTTAAGCACAAATAAAAAACTACTGAAAATAAATATGCAGTATTATAATATTAAGTAGACTTTTTAAAAATAATTGATTTTTGGAAATGATACTACAATGTTAGTTTGCTTAAGAAAATCACTACACATCTCTGGATGGTCGGTGAGTGAAAAAGATGGCTATGGGAGTGTAATATTTGTATAGTTTGGGTTTTTGATTTAATTTTAATACTCATCCATTCCACGCTACTCGGGAATTTTTGTAGCGTCCGTTACAATAAAAAATTGTGAGTAAAACTACCGTAATTATTATGCTTATAAGTTTAAGCCTAATTATTACAAGCATAATTATTAATAAACATGTTTGCAATAGGTATTAACTATTGTAACAGTATTTAATTTAAGCTTTTACTTACAATTTTTGATTATAACGGACGCTACAAAAATTCCCGAGTAGCGTGGAATGGCTGTACTGCGTATTTCTCAGATATCTTTATAAAATTGTGATTTTCTCATTTTTTACAAAAGTTTGGTCTTACTGGAAAATTTTTTTTCGCAAAGTTGCAATTGCACAGCGCACGTTATGTTTGTATCGCGTTGCAAGTAAAAACTGAAAAACTTAATATGCTTTTACAGTCACGCTTGTTTGTGTATTTTATCTAAGTGATCATTGTGAGTTGGTTATTGTATTTTTAGTTGTAAATGTAATTCAAGAACTAATCGAAAGTTGTATTTTTAAGATTTGCCAAAGGATCCAATTTGGTACGTAGAACGCAGAATTAACTAATGATAACCTTATCTAATATAATTTATATTTGTTTTGACATTTTTAAGAAAACTAACACAAAATAATGGTTATGTATAAAACCTAACCTTAAAATCAAACATTTTTATATTTGAGTCATTTAAAAAACGCCGACAACTGCATTTTGAAAAACTTATAGACGAAATATATCTACGAATGCAACATAATATTATATATAATACATAATATAATATAATATATATAATAATATAATATATAATATAATATATATAATAATATATATATATAACACAAGGGAACAAAATTAAACTTTTTTTTTGTTGCATGGAATTTAATGCCTGTTGTTTATTAATTTGAGGTCGCTGATTTCAAATCTAACCCCATTTTTTCTTTAGCAGCTCTAGTTTTTGAGATACAGCTGTCAGACATATTCCTGTACTGCTGCTGATATGGGTAGAATCAAGTACAACGAACACAAGTGGCTGATATGTGTAGATCCTAAAATGGTGAATTTTCTTCTTGGACAACAAGGGGGCTATACAAAATATCCTTTTTTGTCTGTGGGACAGCAGAGCTAAGTCTGAGCACTGGGTTAGAAAAGATTGGCCTTCCAGGCAAGATATGGTTCCGGGAAAACTGAATGTGATAAATGAACCCCTTGTGCACAGGGATCGCATAATACTGCCACTTGTTGATTGTTTCGACCTTTACTTGATGAAACTCCATATTATTAATATATGAATGAAAACAACACTGTTTTAAAGTTTCACTAATTTATTTATGTTTTTAATAATTAACAATTGTTTCGCTACACTGTAGCTTCTTCAGAATTAGTACTTATTTTAACAAGTGGCGGTATTTATATTAACAACAGGCAGGTAATTTGAGAAGATAAATGTTATATAAACATTATACCTGAAGGTAAAATTTATATAATTACATAATTTTGGAAAAACTGAGGGTTTGGGAAATCCTATCTAATATAATATTATAATATTAATAAATATTACTTTTTAGTACTACAAGTACACACTCTAAAATAAATTTAGCAAAGGAGAGCTGTTAGTTTCAATTTGGTCATTAAGAACAATATCAGATTTTTTCTTTAATTTATTAATTTCCAAAGACTCTAAAAGATTTAGTTTGGTACCTTTATTGGCTACATGTAATATTTTAAAGTTATCATCAAATGTGTGGTTCTCTTGTATTAAATGGATTCTTCATACGCTAACCATTTAATACAAGAGAACCACACATTTGATGATAACTTTAAAATATTACATGTAGCCAATAAAGGTACCAAACTAAATCTTTTAGAGTCTTTGGAAATTAATAAATTAAAGAAAAAATCTGATATTGTTCTTAATGACCAAATTGAAACTAACAGCTCTCCTTTGCTAAATTTATTTTAGAGTGTGTACTTGTAGTACTAAAAAGTAATATTTATTAATATTATAATATTATATTAGATAGGATTTCCCAAACCCTCAGTTTTTCCAAAATTATGTAATTATATAAATTTTACCTTCAGGTATAATGTTTATATAACATTTATCTTCTCAAATTACCTGCCTGTTGTTAATATAAATACCGCCACTTGTTAAAATAAGTACTAATTCTGAAGAAGCTACAGTGTAGCGAAACAATTGTTAATTATTAAAAACATAAATAAATTAGTGAAACTTTAAAACAGTGTTGTTTTCATTCATATATTAATAATACTGCCACCTTTACATATCAAACTAGGGCTTATGAAACAATTTGTCAAAGCTCTGAATAAGGATGGTGATTGTTTTAAATACATCTCTAAAAAGTTCTATAATTTGAGCACAGAGAAACTTAAAGCCGGAATTTTTGATGGTCCACAAATAAGAAGGTTAATAAAGGATGAAAACTTTAATAGTTACATGACTGATATTGAAAAAAATGCCTGGAATGAATTCGTTTGGACCGCACAAAATTTTCTGGGAAACAAAAAGGATGAAAGCTATGGGGAGCATATTGAACTGATGTTGTCATACTTCCAGCAGCTTGGTTGTAATATGAGCATCAAGGTACACTTTCTCCACACGCATTTGGACCGTTTCCCTGAAAATCTTGGTGATCTGAGTGAAGAACAAGGGGAACGGTTTCATCAAGACATTCGAACTATGGAGGAACGTTACCAGGGTCACTGGAATGCTCACATGATGGCGGACTATTGTTGGAGCATTAAAAACATCCCTCGTGAACCAATTCAAGCAAGAAAATCTTGAGTATGAGTATGAGTGAGTATAAGAGACGTATAACCAGCCCCATTTCCTCTTGACTCTTAAACCCCGTACAGGCCTATGTTTACTTACGCCGATTTTTGTTCTTCCCCAGCAACTGCACGGCTTCACCCGTGTTTGCTGGGTGCGAATGTCCATTGCGTTCTGTACTGTCCCCTATTTGGGGCTCGAGAGCGAGAGGCGAATAGTTATAATAGCCGTTCCCGGGTTCGCCGGGCCTATGCTATACGCTCAGTGAGGTATGGATGAGGGACGGGAGGGAGTTGGTTTTTGGGGGACAATTACGCCGACTTAAAACTAAGTACGACGCGGAATCCCCCTAGACCAGTCGGTTAGTATTACTCCAAACATTTGGGATTACTATTTGGAGTTGGGGAGTTGTTCTTACGCTGCAGGGGTGTAGTTTCCTAGTCGAGGTCTTCGTCTTGTTCTTTTGTCATTATCCGTGTCGGATAGTTCCTGAACTTGGTAAAGTGTGTCGGTTGTTTTTTTTTTATTTTATTTTTATTGTTGTTTGGTTGCTCCCAACTGGTCTTGTTACTTTGTGAGAAGTGCATGTATTGTGCTACGTGTCATGAAATGTGAAGCATGGTCTACCGATTTTTTTTGTCTTTAAGATCTAGTTTAAGGGTGGCTTGTAGTATGTTGTTGCGTTGTCTACGAGTGACGTGGACCCAGTGTTTAATTGGGCTACTCTTACCCTTTTGGTAATGGTTTTTCCCATTGGTACGATAATCGGCACACATGATAAACTCCCCCGCAAAGAAATACAACCCCCCGCGGCCCCCCCGGAAGACAATCCACACAACGGCAATCGTGCTACGACTACCGCCGTGTAGACCATCCCCCGTATAGGCCACGGGAGGCTGCACCCCCCCGCGGAGGAGCCCATCACTCGTGCCGAGCGTAAGGCCGCAATCGCTGCGATAAGGCAGTTCCCAGTGGGGGTATTTTTTTTACTTTTACAAATTTTATAATTTTCTAAAAGTTCGCTTCTTTCTCTTTTACTTTTTTTTTTTTTTTTTATGATTAAATTATAATAATTATTGTTACATAATTATTACAATTATTGTATCTTAATTCCGAAAATTCGATAATTTTATTTACCCAATTCGTTAATTTCAACTTTTACATCTGGCAATACTGCTATTCACACTCAACTTGTTTATGTTATTTTGTCTTCTTGCATTTAGTTTATTTATTTATTTATCTTACGCCTTTTTCGATGGTTGTTTATGATTTGTCTGCTATGAGAAAATGAGGTTGTTTGTTTAAACTTAAGGAAATGTTCTTATTCTTTTTTAATTTAGTTTTTGAGACAATAAAAGAATTCTTAGTATTTTCTTTTTGCAACATTGTGAAATGCTTACATAAACATTGTGAAATGCTTTTATAAACATTTAGCGAATATACGGTAAGACATGCAATTGGAAAAAATAACTTAGCTTGACCATTTGGTGCTGGAATTGAACCATTTCGCATGCCTCTCGCACGTTTGGTAGTCCAGTAAATTTCGTGGAAGTGTCGTCTCTCTCACACCTTTTAACCAGGTCCAACACTTGAGGATTTAATCAATGGGGGAGGTACCACACACAATTTGCACTTTTTTTGCACTTGGGACAGTTATCACGTTTAGAATCGATTGATTTTTTATTATTTTACGGCGTTAACCAGTTATCACGTTACTACATTTGTATCGTATACGCTGCTTAAGAGAGATCGATGAGCATATGCTTACACTTCAAGCGTCAAGAGCCGAATGACAATTCAAGCAAGAAAATCTTATAAAAAATTTTTTTTTGATAAGTAGTAGTTGTTTTTCTAATGGTTTTCTTAATAAAAATTTGATTTTTCTTAAAAAACGCGTATTAATTATATCTCAAAAACTAATACAAACAATTTGACTTCAGATCTGAAATCAGCACCCCGAGAAAGTATAATATTAGTCATAATATTTCATGCAACAAAAATGCTGTTCCCTTGTGTAATATATATTATATATATATAATACCCGAATAATACCAAATTGAAATGTTTACACTTTTCACGTTAATCATTACTAAAATGTGTATTTATTGTATCTAATAGATACAATTTATATTTACAGGGACTGTACGCAATTTATTTTTTCCACTGTTTATTGGGAAACCGGTATAAACTCAATGCCGGATTTCCTCTAGAAAAATAATTAATAAATAAATATTAAATATAGACTTTATTTAGCAAAATGTACATATATGTATACAAACACTATACTATGAAATATAAATAAAAATAGCATTGCAAACAATAAACATACATAAGCATAACCACAAATATGTATAATACACACAGTAGATCTATAATAAAAGTTAATTGGACATTATATATTATATTTTATCAATTGTTTGAATATGTTGTATTTATCATAAGTTTTAATTTCAGTAGGTAATTTATTAATTTCGAATACACCTCTGTACAGTACGGAATTAAGCATTTGACTAGTATTTACACTTATCGACTAGAATAAAATCAGAACAATTTCTAGTCTTATATGAATGAACATCTTTGAAGATTTAAACTTTGTTACACATATATTGGTAGGTAAAGTAAATTATACTTAATTTTAAAAATAAACATGTAGGTATATTAGGGTGGCCCAAAAAAATAAGAATATTTTTTTTCTCTTGTCTCTTGTGAAAATATGTTGGTTTGCCATGTTTTAAGAGCCCTGTCAACAGATCAGCTCCATTAAAAATTTTTTAGGGCTCGCTCAAGATATTTTAAAATTTCGAGCGACCTCTGAATATAAATACCAACGAACTTTTAGCGACCTTTAGAAATTAAAATATTGATTTGATATTTTCTAAATTTTTATTATTTTCTACCAAAAAAATAATATCGAGACAAAAAATTAAAATAAAACAAAAATTCAATTTTTGACGATTTTGAAAATTTTTAAAAATCTTGAGCGACCCCTAAAAATTTTGTAATCGAGCTGATATTTTGACAAGGCTCTTACAGCATGATAAACTAACATATTTTTACAAGAGACGAGAAAAAAAAAGATATTCTTTTTTTTTGGGCCACCCTAATGTATATGCATATATATACAGACTATTTTTTGTTTCACAGTCAGCATGTTCAAAACATTTAACATTGTTAGAACTGGGGTATAATAACTACATTTTAAAATTGTTCTGAAAGCTCTATTTTGAATTACTTGAAATTGTTGGATTTTATAATTTGGTAGGTTGTACAAGATGGTTGAGTAAAATTATAAGTGTGGTGCAGCAATAAATACTTTTATAAAGGAGTAATTTGGTGTCCATTGACAAGTTTTTTTTTGCAAATTTTCTCATTATGTACTCTGCATTAGGCTAAAAATTATTGTCAAATAACACTCCTAAATATTTAATTTGATTTTTGTGTACAATATTTTTATCATTTATTAGTATATTTATGCTACTAGTACCGATTTCACTTAATTTATATTTTCTTCCAAACACGCAGGTTTTTTTGGTATTTATGCTGAAATTGTTATTACATAACCATTTGAATATTTTATGTAGATCTGCATTTATAGGATGTTCCATGATCTTTAAGTCAGTAAAAACACTCAACAAGAAAAAATCGTTTCACAGTTTTTTAACCATAAAACTACAAAACCGAGTTTTTGGTATTTTTGTTACATCTGTGTGTCGAAATTTGTATAACGAAACAATAGAAAAATTGAAAAAAATAAGAAGGTTAAAAAACCATTTCTTATATTTTGAACTTTTTCAAAAAAAAAAAAAAAAAATTCTAACATTTTATGGTTTTAGAAACTTTCAAGTATGTTTTTTACATTTAAACTCGTGATTTTACCTGAGTTGCATCTTGGTCATGTAGTACATGTTGACGGACCTCTGCGGCTGAGCCGACGGGTTATTAGCCGACGTTTCATTTTGCAGCTGGCATAGTGTTTCTTGCACCGGGATAAGCGGATTGAGGACGAAGCTGAACGCCGCAGCTTGGCAGTCGGGTTCTTCTCGACACCAGCCCTGGCATTCGTAGAGGGAAAGGTTTTTCACGGTGTAATAGGTGTTCCCTCTGTAGTCGAAGTCGGTTAGTTTTTCGAATGCTATTCTTCCTGAAAATGAAAAATAATTGGTTTAGAAATAAAGATAAAAAACACCGAACATAAAATAAATCAGAAAACATGCTCTACTTAAAAAACCCCAAAGTTAATCGTAAGTAATATTATAAGGGCATCTAATTTTTTCTGAAAAAATCGAAAAAAACACGTTGCTTAATAATATTTTAATAAGAAGCATAATAAATATTACTTAGCATTGTGTTTTTTCGATTTTATCACAGGAAAAATTAAGGAATTTAAGAATAATTCTTAAATTATTGTCAACAATAAATTTAAAGCACCAATTATATCATTTTTAAATAAATAGGTAGTTTTTTTACAAAAGAGAGGAAGGCAGAAATCTTACCTACTCGACAAATTTTGGTCAATTGCAAGGAAAAAATTAAAAAACTTTTTTATTGCTCGATTTCGATTGACGTTAGTGTGTGTATTTTATCAAAGGAATCATGGTGAATTATTGTGTTTTTAATTGTAAATAAAATTCAAAAACTAAATCGTTGCATTTTCATGTTTTGCCAAAGGATCCAATTCGGTAAGTACATTTGTTGGTGCAGAATTAACTAATGATAACTTTACCTAACATAATTTATATTTAAGTTTGGACATTTTTAAGAAATTAGTAAAAAATAATTTTTGCACAAACACAACCTCAAAATCAATCATTTTAATATTTTAGTTCTCTGAAAAACGCCGACAACTGCATTTTAAACAACAAAATATACATACGAATTCATGGCAACATATTATATATAATACATAATATAATGGTATTTTACCGTTGTGGAGATTTTAAAGAATTCTTAATCAACGTTTTTAATAATGCTAAATGCTATTTAAATTTAGACGACTTATTTCTTTAACGATTATTACTGAATTGAAATGTTTACACTTTTCTCGTATGCAATTTATTTCTTCATTCAGATTAACTCTGTTTATTGGAAAACCGGTAAAAACTCTATCCAGTATTTTCTCTCGAAATACACCAAAAAACACAACAAATCGATCCACGTTTTTTTTTCGATATTTTTTAACATTTTCCGGCTTTAATCTCAAAAACACTCGTTTGTAACCCAAGCGTTTGACAGCTAATTATTAAAAGTTCTACTTTTGTTACGATGATAACAGCCGAGTGGTGGCGCTACTAGGGATACTTCTTTAGCGTATTTCATGAGTAACAGTTGTTCTGCATACACATAGCTTACAAAACATATTACCTATTATACATGCATACATAATAAATTGTAGGTATTAATTTGAAAACTGAAAAATAGGTCATTTATTTAATCACAAAATACTACAAACTAAATTATTTATAGTACAATTAAAATATAAATTGCAATTTTTGGTGAAAATAGCTGTCAAGTTTAGCCGCGGTTAAACTCGAAAAAACTGCTGACAGGTGCTGTCAAACAGTTTTTCCACCTAGAACCCATTTGTAATTCAAAATTGCGCGTTTTTGATTGGTGGAAATTAAGACGAGGGAAATAGTAGTAAGTAATATCACAAGGGCATCTAATTTTTACGAAAAAAATCGAAAAAACACGTGCTAAGTAATATTTTAACAAGAATCATGAGTGCTGGTGGAAACAAAAATCCGAGTCGAAGACGAGGATTTTTGCACCTGCATTTTGTTAAAAAATATTACTTAGCATTGTGTTTTTTCGATTTTTTTCACAGGAAAAATTAGATGCCCGAATGGTATTTGACAAGACTAATCCATGAGTAACAGTTATTCTGCATACTATAGTATACCTATTTTATACATGCATCCATAATAAATATGAAGGTATTAATTTGAAAACTGAAGATAGGTAATTTATTTAATCAGAAAATACTACAAACTTAATTATGTATGGTACAATTAAAATATAAATTGCAATTTTTGGTGACAATAGCTCATCACCTGAGTATTGGTTTGTGCTATCTCCATTTTTTACCATTTTGAGGTTTATGCATTTGAAGTTGAAGTTGGTTTGTTTCATCTCCATAATAGTATTTTGATATAATTGTGTCAGTTTTTAGTTTAGGTTAGTCTAAATCCGAGTTTAGTATAAAAGGTTTAAAATTGGTTTACTCTATCTCCAAAATTTCGCTTACAGGCTTTCTTTTGCTCTATGTGTTTGTAAAAATCTGAAAATAATTAGTATTTATTTGTGCTATATCCATATGGAAAAAATATTTTATAACTGTTTTGTGCTATCTCCAAGGAAAGCTTCCTTATAAGTATAAAATTGTTTTGTTCTATATCCACTTTAGCCAGTACACGTTTTTTCACCTATTTACATTTATATGACATTGTATTTTGACAATAATTATAATTATTATTATTTAAGTAAATCATTATTAAATAAAGTATTTTTTAATTCAGTTTTGTTTCATGTCCTAAAACTTTGTTATATGTCCAACATTTTGTTTCTAAAATCCAAAAATAGCACATTTTGTTTTATCTCCAAAACGTTTTTTCCAATATTGAGGCATAAATCCAAATTTGAGGTAAGAGTTGCTCAATAGAACTAATTAAAGGCTAAACAAGAATATAGAACAAATCAATACTCAGGTGACAGGTGCTGTCATACAGTTTTTCCACCTAGAAACCATTTGTAATTCAAAATTGCGCGTTTTTGATTGGTGAAAATTAAGACGAGGGAAATAGTCGTTAAAAATTGATTGCCTCACGTAGGCATCACTTTCCTCGGCAATGCTAAATCGCCGGGACGTGCTTCCCTTTGTCAATCCGAATCAATCTGGCTAAATAAACAGCCTGCTGCGTTCGCATCAAAGCAAAAAGAATCGTTTTGTGCTTGAGCCGCAGCCCGAGTAACTGTTTATGGTACGGTAACGTGTACTGGGAAAGCCATTTGCATGTGTGTGACTTTCCTAATTTGGCTCGAGAGCTAGGCGACTCTGCGCTGATAGTGCCATAGTGAGTTATAGGCTTGCGGATAATTGATTGTAGCAACTGCAATGTTACGATAAATCTCGGGATAAGCCCAGAATTATTTGCATATTGATAAATTAGCGAGGTTTCTCTCGGAAAAAATCGAATTCTATTGGCTTGGACTTGGATAAATGGAGAAACAGATCTTATTGTTAAAGTCATGTTTTTAAACTTCATTTCTTCTAAAGAACTAATAAACAAATTATAATTAACACCAACCGATGTACTATGCTCCACACCTCAAAGTCCCACCACGTGACCACGTACGGAACGTCTTTTAAAAATTTGGCATTTAAGGCTTTTCAGGTTATGAATCTGTCAAAGTATAGTCAACGAAAGAAATAATATTATGTTTAGGCGTTAAAAATGTATAAATCTTTATAACATTACAATAACAATAGAAGGTTTAAGAATATAAATAGGCACTGCATTTAATGAAATTCTAAAGTGTATGGTGCCAAATAAGTAATATTTTTGTGCATTTGGTCCAAATATCTGGTTTTCTCCATAAAATAATTTTAACTAAACAGCATTTATTAAAAAAAATCTAGCTTCTCTATTATGGAATAAGAATATCTGTATTAAAGGTAGGTTAATATATTATAACAAAAATATCATCTAATTTTGTAATTTTAAGGTTAGAAAAATTTATTTTGACCAAAATAAATAAGTATTTTGGATTATTCAAAAGACAGTATAATATGGTATTTAAAAATGTGGTAGTTTTTCTTATCCAGCTTAAAGGGTACCTCCATAAAGTTTTGTCAATACAAATAGTTAAAAAGCTTTGACTGAATTTGATCTACATCGAAAAATCATTATAACTTAAATATTTTAATAAATCACATTTCAAGTTTCTCTAAAAATTGTTTGTTTTCTTATAATATAACTTAAAGTAGGTATGCCGAGAGGTATTCACAAGTTTAAAGTATAAGTATAAAAGCTTCAATTTAATTTAAACCATATTCAACAATTATTTAGTATACCTATATTTATTTATGACCATATTAACACACTCTTCCAAATAATCCACTTATTTATTTTGGTCAAAAGAGATTTTTTTAACCTTAAAATACAAAATATTTTTTGTTCTAATACATTTACCTACCTTTGAAACAGATATTCTTATTTCATAATAGAGAAGTTAGATTTTTTTAAATAAATCCTGTTTAGTTAAAACTATTTTAAAGAGAAATGTAGACCCAATGCACAAAAATATCACTTATATTGTACCTTACACTTTAGAATTTCATTAAATGCAGTATTTATATTCCTAAATTCTTAAACCAACCATTGTTATTGTGATACTATAGAGATTTATTAACTTTTTACGCGGTAACACTATAGTGTTGAATTTATATATAAATATTATTTCTTTCATTGACTATACTTTGAAAGATACATAACCTGAAAAGCCTTAAATGCCAAATTTTCAAAAGACGTACGTGGTCACGTGGTGGGACTTTGAGGTGTGGAGCATAGTACAAATTAATTAAAAATAAAAGCCACAAAAACTAATTACCAATATTCATCATAATTTGTGCCAATTCTACTTATTTGACACTAATAAAATTTGAGAATCGAAAAACCGCAATATAATAAATCCGGTTAATTAATAGTAATGTTGCGTACCAATTTGCTAATTATTTGTCAGGCAAATGTAGTTCACAAGCTAACGGTCGGTTTTAATTGCCTTCGGTAGCGGAGGTCACCATGATGCACCAGTGGTTTCGTTTATATATTATGCCACATCAAAAATATAAATAAAAATGTCTCCGACACGGTTTTTGCCTGCTGTACGTAATGTAAACATAGTTAAGAGAGTTAGCAGAGCTAAAAGCAAGCCTCATGTTTAATTGTTTTTAATTTTAACTTTTCATCTTCAACTTCATTGCAATCTTTTCAAAATATAAGAGTGTTCGAGTAAGAAATATTTTTTGTTCGTAAAAGTGTGGCTAACTATCCCTATACCGGTATAGGGTATACCCTAGACAAGATTATCATTAACAAAGAAACAATTGATTTATAACATTCAAAATTTTTTATCAAGGGCATGAGTAGTTTCAAACTAATTTTCGACATCATTAGGAATTTAATTTTTTAACTCAGTTTACCATTTGTCATACAATCGGTGAGATTAAGAACAAGTTCCCAACTTAAATTTTGGACAAATTATTTCAAAAAATCAGTTTTATAGTTTTTGTGAAAATATATTAATCATTTTACAAAATATACTCATTATTAAAGTTACAATTTTCAACTATTAAACTATTCTTAATTTTACCGATTCAATTCTGGTCTTAAAGTTTGGTGAGGCTTTCTTGTTTTACATGGATGATTTGATTTTTGCTATAAATGTATAATAAAATTGTGAACAAAAAATAATGTATGGTCACCCTGTTTTAATAGCTACTGATGTACAGGGTGATCCCCTATAATGGACAAATTATTTCAAAAAAATTTTGGACAAATTATTTCAAAAAATCAGTTTTATAGTTTTTGTGAAAATATATTAATCATTTTACAAAATATACTCATTATTAAAGTTACAATTTTCAACTATTAAACTATTCTTAATTTTACCGATTCAATTCTGGTCTTAAAGTTTGGTGAGGCTTTCTTATTTTACATGGATGATTTGATTTTTGCTATAAATGTATAATAAAATTGTGAACAAAAAATAATGTATGGTCACCCTGTTTTAATAGCTACTGATGTACAGGGTGATCCCCTATAATGTCGCCCCCTTTAACTTTTTTATTTTAAGTGTCCCAAAAAATTTAAAAGTGTGGTTATGTAGGTACTAAAAATTACTTTTTTTCTATGTATAAAAAAATGGAAAATTGATTAATGTACAAGGAAAAACAAAAAGTTTAATTTTTTTTCTATGGATCACCCTATATATGAGTTTATTTTTCGATTCCTTGTAAAATTCTGAGCATAATTCATATAATAAACCATATACCTAAACTCAACCGTTTCTGAAATATTCGCATTCGAAATGTTATCATTAAATTTTTTTTTAAACTATTAGAAATCAAGAAGCCTCAGTATACCAAAATTTTTATTGAAAATAAATTACTATAGTGACATTATTTTAATATGTCTTGTTAAATAAGTAAAAATGGCGTACTCGGAAAGAGAAAGATAAACTATTTTAAATTATTATCTTAAAAATAATTTAAATATCTCAGAAACGGTTGAATTTATAAATGCATATACCTGATACTGATACTGAACAATTTTCCTTATACGTAGAAAAATTTTTTTTTTTTTTAAGTTAAAGGGGGCGACATTATAGGGGATCACCCTGTACATTAAAATTAAAATATATAAATTAGCGTAATTAACCAATCAATTTAATTAACTCACTAATTACATACCTACATATATTGATTGGACGAAATGATATGTTTTAACTATAGTTAACGAGTTTTATTAATTTATTATTTCATATATCAATCTAATTAAAATTAGGAATTTATCGATGCGGCTTCTATTATGGTGTAATTAAAGTATGTTTTTAATTTAAAATGTAAGCAACAATGCTGTTTGTTTTTATTCTTTTAGCAGGTATTTAATTAAAATGAATGTTTATTTTGCTATTTTTTGGCATAAAAATATGCCAATTTTAATAGCAAAATTTAATTAAGATTTGTTCTGTATAGTGAAAATTCAACTGGAAGAACCCATAAATAAAATTTTCTATTTGAAAAAACCCTTTAGTGAAATATTATAGCAATAAAAAAAAGTCTGATAAATTAAATCTATTAATATTTATTTAAGTATTAAAATGACATGACATAAGGCACTTATGAAATGTATTAATATTACCCCCACAATCCACACAACAAGGTCTGTCAAATGTCAATTTTAAGGTTAATTTACCATAACCCACAAATTTACCATACCCACAAATTAACCTTAAAATTGAAATTTCGATAGAATAATAATTATATTAATAATAATAATAAGAGTGCTTCTGTGAGAAACACACCCGAAGCACAAGAATTATAAAAAACATAAAAATGGCGGCCTTTAAAGTCTGTGCAGTGGGCATAACTTCGTGGTTTTTAGTATGCGCGAAACGAGACAGACCTTGTGTGGATTGTGATTACCCCCATAAAAACAAAAAAACATCAATTATATTTTTTAACTTACCTAAAATTCCATTAAAATTAAGTACGACTAGAAATAAGGCTATCACTATACTGTGTCGGGTCATCTGAAAATAAAAAAAATACAATTAATAATACCATATTAATTTTCTTGAGATAACATTTATAATTTTTGCTGTTTTATATTTATGGACCTGCATAAGGTTTTATTGCATTAATTTAAAATGAAAACCGAACTTAATTTCCCCGTATACATTGATAACAATGGGGCACTTAAGTATAGATACTAAACATCAATTGAATTCAAACCCTATTAACGGATACCATAACATGGTTTAATGATATCGTGAGAGATAATATGACCGATATTAATTCAATTTATAACTTAATAACACTGTTTTTGCGCCATAATTTGTGTTACAAACGACGAGAGTGTTTTTTGCAATAAGGAAGTCATTAGTCTGACACTGATCTTCTCTATAAAACAATACTTTTTTTTCAACTCTTGTAAACTGTATTTTATTAAACAAAAATTTAAATCTGGGTAGAAAATTTACCTAAGCGATTTATTAAAACCATTTAATAGTATACAGGGTGTTATGTAATTAATGTTATATATTAAAATATTGAATACCTTTTGACATAAGGAATAAAGGAAAAATATTTTAAAAAGCATTTTTCCAAAGATAAAGAAAAAATATGCATTAGAAGTTTTTTATATTTTTTGTGATACGCCACTGGTTACACACTTGTTTATATCTGCACACCTGTATTTTGTGAGTACATAGATACCAACCAACAAAGTAGCTATGCGTTGCCAGATGTAAAAAATTGTTACTAAAAATTTTTCTTGCAAAAAATAAATAAAAACTCAATAAATACAAAAGTTTTATGCCCTTAAAGCTCTAATTCCCTTCTGTATTTATTTACTGATCCAGCTATTAGCTTAAGCAATGATTAGAAAATTTAGTACCTTTGAAATTTGAAATCCATAACCACAAAATTAATTTTTTCATCAGTTTTTTTGTCTGTTTACTCAGATGAAATTGGGACCAGTTCACAGGTTAAACTTTAAACATTTAATTTGTGTAAATAAATCCAAAAGCACCTTAGTTAAGATATTTACAATTTGAAAACATAACCTAAAATTTAAAAGAAATGCACTAGAATCTGTCATAAAAGTTGGCAGATTTTGTTTGAATTTACCTTCTGTACAAAAATGAAATAACCAACAATTAATAAAAACGCCAAATTGACAATTTGCATTGTTAATTTTGTCATTTTTGTAATTAAGCTAAATTTAAACAATGTTTGTCAACTTTTTTTAGAGATTTTGGAAAAACTGTTGTTACCAACCATAACATAATAAATCCACCAGATTAACCTAAAGTTCCTAGTCGATCAGTGGCGTACTTTTTGGTAGGATAAAGGTTATTATAAATTATTTTTAGACTTTGGAATTTAGAAAAAAAAAGTTTCAGGTGCTTCTTTATGGACCCTAAGGAACAACCCATTTTAATATATAACATTAATTACATAAAACCCTGTATTATGTATCAAGTTTGATAAACGCCATTTTAGACCGCCATCTATAAAACAATGGGGGAATCTGTGTGTCACCGTCAAATGTCAAATTTAGTTATTTTATAAACACAGATTATAAAGGTTATAAATCAAAATGTAATTCTTGAAAATTTACAGTTTTTCACAGTGAAAGTAAAGAAAATATTTTATGAGCACTTTACAGTGGAGTCTGTGTCCGAATTTATAGTTATAGAGTTTACTGCCGGCGAAATTAAAAGGTCAGTACAATGTTCATATATTCATATATATTTCAAATATTGGCGTTGAGAAACTATTTAATACTTTTGTATTGAGATAATAAAATAATTTTCACATTTAGTATTATTTTACAAGAAAGGCACTTTATTTTAACGATTGTATGACATTTGACAACTGTCAACTAACTTCAGCCCGTGACTAAAGCGCCATAAAACCACAACTTGTCAATGTGTATTTAAAAGGTCACTTAGTGTCATGGAAACATGTACGATAAAGGGCGTTTTAAAGGTGGGAGTAGAAAAAAATAGTTAAATATATAGTATACTTAGTTGGCTTCGTCTAATATAGAGATTAGTCACGAAAAACAATTATAACTTTGAGAAAAAAACATTTTTGTGTAAAAGGCGTGTCAAAATTTAAGAATAAAAAATATCCAAAAATACCAAACAAAATTCTTTGATAGTTGTAATATTGTTACTTCTTATAAAACTATTAACAACGTATTTTACTATAGATCATAAAGTTATTTTTAAAGTTAAAAATTTACACTTCTAGGATGTACTTTACGATTTATGTAAATTAATAAAAATATTGAACATAACCTGGAAATCACGGTATTGCTAGAAACAGATGTTGATTAATTCGTAATTCTCATCGAAGCGTTTTGAACCATGCGTTTATTCAAAAAAATCAAATATTTTTTTTATTTCCGACACTGAAAAATTGGTTCTTAGGCACCTTTAGAGAGTTCTCACCAAATTTGAATATCTTTTAAATGGTTAGAGTAATCGCTTAAACACAAGTTCTTTTTTGTACAGAATTAAAATTCCTACAAAAATATGTATAAAGATTTAATTAAACGATTGATGGTCTTTTTATAAAGGACTAAAGAAAAAATTAAAAACTGTGATGAGGAGGATTAATAATATTAAGAGCTCATTTGGTGAGCACTTTCTATAGAGGTGCCTATAAACCAATTTTTCAGTGTCGGAAGTAAACAAAAAAAATATTCGATTTTTTTGAATCACCTATATTCCAAATTGCATTCTCTCAGAGGATAGTTTCAATGGGTAATTCATAATTATTCGGTTTTTTCTTCGTGAGATATTTTAAAAAATATAATGTTTCCACTTTTAAGCGTTTAAACTTTGACAATTTGTCAACCTAATATATGCATAATATTTTAATTTAATTTACGTATTTCATTTTATACAATTATTGTATAAAACGAAATATGTAAATTAAAGAAAAAACTTTAATTTGATGATTTCCCATTATCTCCCAATAAGGAAATAATGCCTGATACTGATCTTACCAAAAAACTAAAACAACACAATACTAAAATTATTGTTATTTTCCATAAAACCAGGATAATTTTGGTACAGTGTAGAGCAAAGCATTTGTTTTACCGTCGGCCTTAAAAGTACCACACTAATAGAGCCCTTCTGGCGTATTTAAATTACAAGCCATTGAATGACGTAATTGCACATCAATTCAGCCATAGATGTAACATTTGGCGTTTGAATAAGCAGCGAACGCAACTATAGGAAAGTGTGTAAAATGGTTAATAACATTTTAAGAGTTGTTCGTTTGCCTTTTAAGAGCTACCGTTCGCCTTATGCCGTCATGTTTAACGTAAAGATTATACGGTGGAAAATTTGTTCTTGAGGATGTTTAATCATTAGATAAAAAATTAAGTACCTAATTTATATCTTTTTGAAAATACTAGGTGTTTATATATACTGGTAGTGCGAAAGATGAAAATTTTTTAAATTGAAAACCCCTGTACAAAAAAAGTATAATTTGCTATTTCTTCACCGCCCCAGAACCATCTTCAGTTTAAAAAAATTATAATATTCAGACGGGGGTAGAAAACGATTAAATTTTTGTGTCCAAATAATTTTTCCAAAATTGAGCACATTGCTTCAAAAACAAGCTTAGTACAAATATTTTCAGATTTGACATTGACCGGGTTAACTTGTTTTTTTTTTTAAATAAAATTCTCAACTTTCGAAAAGTTTATTATGCTCTGCGGCAGTGGAAGACATTAAAAAAAGAAATTTTGATCAAAAAATATTTATTTTAACCATACACAAGTATTCTATTTACAGGCATTTTTAACTTTAAAAATTCTCATATGGGTGATTCTACAAAAGCAACTTTTGACCTCATTTTGTTTATATAGTATTCGGAGAAAATTAAACAATATTTTGTTATGAGAACATAGATAATATAATAAATATACTGTTCCAGACCGGGCCAGCCACTTTTTCAAACAGTTTCTGAAATATCTGTGTTTTCTAAATTTGAATGCAAGGGAAGTGACGAGAATACCAGGGTACTAATTAAATACATAATTTATTAGAAAATATAAGATTTATTGCAACTTTGAGCATATTACACATTAAATATCTTAAAATCAAATAATACCACACATCAGTGGCGGCTGGTGGATTTTGGGTATAGCGATATCTCAATTATTAGATATGGAACCCACACCAAATTTATATAAGGACACAATACTGATGAATGGGATACAAATTTGATATTATAATTCGGATTTAAGTATTTTACTGATATTTTTTATTAGTGGATGCTACTTATCAATAAAGCACATATAGCCTTATATAAATTACAATGAAATATATATACGTAAGAAAATAAGTACTCACCACAGTACTGAAAAACTATATGTGCATTCACCACAACTTCGCCGCTTGCATTGTTTTCAAGATGACTGTCGTGCAAAGGGCGGGCTCTGTAGGTAATTTTTTACCAACACTTGAGTTATAACGAGGACCTGACGTTTAAACTTATAATATTTACAGGGATTTTGAATTTTAACATTGGACACAGAACTGACGGGTAAAAGTGAGTACAAAAATTAACAATTTTTTTAAAAATTGTTATTATTCTAATGTATGATAAAATATGAAAAATACATTATTAAATTTTAATGTTTTATAGTTTGTAGTGAAATTGAAAAATTGAATATATTTTAAAATAAAACCACTCAAATATTTGAATCAGGAGTTGTGACACGCCAAGGTACTGATGTTTTGAATATTTATTATGTTTTTCTACAAACGTGCTTTTAAAAAAATACATTAAAATTGGGTGGACAAGTTAAAAAAACCTTTTGTAATATACTAAAATATTTACAAAATATTAAAATACCTACTCTATTGACTGAATTTGTAAAAAAACTACTTTGTGTGATATAACAAAACGTTGTTTGTACTTTTGAGTTAGATTTCTAAAAACCGAAAGTAATGGAGCAATTCTGAAATCGGGTTTGAATTTTGCGCATCAAAAACCTTCGAAA